CCACCCCCACATCCCCTAGACAAGCTGCCGCTCCATCCTGCACCCACCCCACCCTGGCTGGGCAGCCCCTGCCCCTGCTCCAGCTCCACGCCTCCCTCCCCATGGGGGCCTTGATCTGCCCCACATGCCCCTTCCCTCCCCTTCCACCACACCAGACTTATGAGCAGGAGGCAGCTCTCTACGCTACTGGGCTGTGCTTCCTGCCGTCTCTGCTGCGATGGGCCATTTATCGACCAAATTATTGGCCTGATATGGCCAATTACTGATATATTACATTTTCTTTATATCAGTGCCAATCTGATATCAGACCGATGCGTCGGTGCACCTCTATTTCTAACACATTCGTACAATAGCAACATGGTTTGGTGCACTTTCCTTCCTAAGAGCTTTGGAGAACTCTTCTTCACTTGCTGATGTGTCTCCTTATCCTACATTTATGAATTGTAAAAGCCCATCATAGCAACACCAGCTCTCAGTATCACCAAGTTTGTGGAAACATACAAAAAGCTCACCAATATTGTACCAGTACCTCAACTACTTTATACCTGCAATGACAAAACCTTTGTTTTAGTGAATTCTGATTGATAAATTTGCGCGTCGCATGTTTTCTGTTGAACTGATTGGGACTGGTGACATGTTTTAACTAGCAACATACCATCTACGTAAATCCAGAAAACATAAATACAAGATGCAAGAAAGCAAGGGGGAGGCTGAGAGCTCTGGCTGTGGAAGGGATGGAGGGACCAGCAGCGAGGGCTGCCAAAGGACAGGAGCTTGGTGGTGGCCTAGGTGCAAATGATGCTGATGGAATTTCATTTGTCACGTGCTGGTAGAGCCTAGACAAGGCCCTAATGCAGCATATTTGCCTGGTGCATGAAGAGGGGCAGTTTCCTCAGATGAAGAAAACACTAGCAGAGCAGAATTCAATATAAACATTAAAGTATTAAAATAATTGATTGAGGAGTAATCTGAACCATGTGTTTTGATTTTTAACAAGTCTTGGAACAATGGAAGATGAGGATGTAAGGTCCTGGTGTGAGACCTCAGGCTTGCTTTAGGTTTTAGTATGAGTGAATTTGTCTTGTGGAAGCAAAACTTTTTTTCTTTGCTAAGAGCAGAGCTGTTGCACAAATCATTTTGCAGCAGTCACCTAATTCTAATATAAAAATCACTTGCAATTAAACTAATTATCACAAATTGCTGCGGTTTATGAAGAGTTGCAGTTTTTCTGTCTGGAACACCAGATATAATACCCCAAACATGACAACCGACATATACTCCAGGTATGATGCCAACAAGTTACACATTTTAGAAAAGAGAGTGCCAGCAATTTTCACAGTTGCTGTTTTCTCATTCATGTGAGCCCTCTTAAAAGGCAAGACACCCCTTAGAAACAAGATTAATTTTGTAAATACCAAATTAGCAAGGAACCTTGTTATAAAAATGAAGTGCCCCATTGGGAAGTTGGGAGGAGCCAACCATTGCCATCCAGAAGTTAGCTACACCTTTCCTATCTAGGCAGTGCGAGTATGTTAGCTATTCTTGTTATTAGGCATATTTCTGTGCTCATGCTATCTATCTTCATTGAATCCTGCCTAGCTCTTGAGCTTGGCTTTAGGGTCACAGTGATAGATAAGGAGGGCTAGAAGGGACCTCTAGACATTATCTAGCCCAATTCCCTCCTACAGGTAGGATGATCTCTATCCAGCCATACTAACCTATTCATAAAACTACAGTCAACCCTGAAAGACAGACACAAGGTGTAACACCCTGGCCTGCTACATGTAAAGTAGTGGAACAGCAGCAACCAGCATCCTGCTGCTGCAAGGGTTGTTAAAGTACACTCATGAGATCCAAGGAAGAGGGCTATGCCTCCTGCTAGACTAGAGGAAGGCAACACCCCTCCCCACAGAGTCCAAGCTGTAACTTCAAGCTTTTGTTTCACATCCTGCTCTCTGCAGAAAAAGTGAAATGGTGTTTTCCCTCTTCTTTGTGGCAGCCTTTCTGATATTTGAAGACTGCTATCATGTCCTGTTTTAATTGCCCTTTCCATGAGCAGAATATGCCTATTTCCTTCAACCTCTCTTTATATGACTTGCCTTCTACACCCTTCATCATTTTTGTTGTCCACCTATCCTGTCCTCCAGTGTGTTTGCAGTCCATCAGTAACAGCAATGATTAGAGGATGGGAAACATGATTTATAAGGATGGATTAAAAGAATTAGGATTCTTGCTTAGAAAGAACTGAGCAACCTGGTAGATGTGGGAAAGTGAGAGAGAATTCAGCCTGGGAGCTGGCCAGCCAGAGATGGTAGGCACAGTGCCTGGCTCTCAGCCAGGTGGGCAGCTCAGGGAGCTGGGGAGTTGGCAGCTGGAGGACACTCAGAAAAGTTAAAAAAGATGTAAAGAATTGTTATTTTGACTCTGCAAAATGACGTTATTGAACTTCTGCTCTGTAGCAAGTGTGGAAGTCTCGTCCTTGAAAAATGATTCAGAAAGGTTTTTTTTATTTCAGAATTTCCGGTGGGATGGGAATTCTGAGTTCACTGACTCTGGTGTTCACATTGTAATGTGGAAAGGGTCCACAAATTCAGTATATGATTGATTTGTGTCTTGGAAAACCTCACTATGGTAAGGATCTTTAGAAGCTCAGGCTAGTACGTTTCTTGGAGAGAATGTTAACAGGTGGCTCCATCAGAGCCACAAAAATCTACATGGGGAGAGATTTCTGGTAGGATTAAAACAGTGTTTTAATCTTGGAGAAAAAGAGAGAATGAGATCCAATGACTGGAAGCTGAAGATCGAGAAATTCAGGCTGAAAGTAAGATGCGCATTTTAACAGTATGGTAATTATGGGAGGAAGTGGCCTGCAGATGAGGTGGATTCTGCATTCCTTAGAGCTTAGGCCCACATGGGATGTCTTTCCATTGGGAGGAGAGGGGCAGGCATGTCCCAAGTGTTGCAGGGAGTAACTGTCTTATCCTCTGCAGGGTGGCTCATCAGGCAAAGGCACTGCTCTCCGAGGCAGATCTGATGCTGATCTCGTAGTATTTCTCAGCTGCTTCAAAGGGTACAAGGACCAGGAGGAGAACCGCACAGAGATCATCTGGGAGATCAGGAGGATGCTGGAAAAATGCCAGCAGGAGAAGCGCTTTGAGGTGATCATTGAGGTGTCCAGGTGGGAGAACCCCCGAGTGTTGAGCTTCCAGCTGCGATCCAGAATGCTAGAAGAATCCATAGATTTTGACGTGCTGCCGGCTTATGATCCCCTGGGTAAGACTAGCTGCCATGCACTCCACCAGGGATGCATGCCTCTGACTGGAAGCCTGCTCTCAGATCATTGCCAAAGGCCAGGCATGCTGTTTTTCTGCTGGAGCTGTGCGGGGGAGAGCATGGGTTCTGACCTGAGAACAGCATTTACAGTGTCAGGGGCATCAGTCTTCACCAGTAGTTCCTTTACCTTTAGACACTTGGTTCCACAACCTTGTCCTCTTTTCCTGCCACAGTACAGTGCTCTAAAATGGGTATGGATCCCCTCTCCTTGGGGCCATTCCTCCTATAGCAGCTTAAATGTTATGTGAGCTCCAGGAGAGGTTGGATGGGTATTCGTGTGAGACCGATGTTGCACCCAGTGCCCTAAATCTGTGGCAGTATCCACAGCCTCTCATGTCAGCAATCACCTAGTCCCCACCCCAGGCCTCTGTTTTGAACAGACCCAGATGGGGTCCCATTGTGTTCCTTCATCTGGGTTTTCACAGCAAATCCCACACCCTACTTAAGTGGAGATGCAAAAACGCTTCTCTGCACAGGTAGTGATCTGTATGTGTCTTCCTGCATTTGTATTCCTTGACAGGCCAGCATGTTTCTGGTTACAAGCCCAGCCCTGATGTATACCTGGACCTGATAGGCAGCTGCTCCCGGGGCGGTGAATTCTCTACCTGCTTCACTGAGCTGCAGCGGGATTTTGTCATGGATCGTCCCACCAAAGTCAAAAGCCTGATTCGCTTGGTGAAACACTGGTACAAAAAGGTATTACAGGCAGGCCAGACTCCCTTGAGCCTTTGCAGGGGAATCAGGCCTGCCTTTCCCCACACCCTCCCCCACTTTACTAGCTTGAAAAGTGCTTCCCTCAGTGTTTTTCCTTTTGAGTCTCCAATTGGTGAATGGAGTCAGTTGACAAAATAGAGCTGGCTCCAAAAGGTTCTTGCCTGACCCAGGCAGCACTGCTAGGGCAGTCCTGAGAGAGAGCAGGACTTTGTATCGGGTCTGGCATCGACAGACCCTGTTGCAGGAGGCCCTCCATGCTCTAGCCCCAGCTGCTCTGTCTCTCAGCCCCTGTCATCTTTACTGAGTAGATTTCAGGGAAGGTTCAGGCACTGGATCAATGTTTTGCTCTGTCTTTGTCTTATCTTTTCCCCTCTTTTGCATTTCAGTATGTCCGTCCTTACAAAGCGCAGCTGAGACAGGGAGAGTCCCTGCCACCCCAGTATGCCCTGGAGCTCCTGACTATCTATACCTGGGAGAAGGGGAGTGGAGAGACAGACTTCAGCATGGACGAGGGCTTTCGGACGGTGCTGGAGCTGATCCAGCAGTACGAACAACTCTGTGTCTTTTGGACCATAAATTATGGCTTTGAGGATGAGGCCCTGGGACAGTACCTGCAATCCCAACTCAGAAAACGCAGGTCAGTTTCTTCCCCCTCTCTGTGCATCCCAACCTGCTGTGTGCATCCAGGCATTTCCCTCCCTGGCATCTCTGTCCCATGCCCCAGATACTGCCATGCCAGTCTAGGCTGGGAGGACCAGATGGGACCATGAAACCAGCATTAGTGCATGGTTGCAGCTTGTCCAATCTGAACAGGAGAAGAGAGTGCAGGGCAGAGGGCATATGCTAGTGTTCTTGCTTCTTGGCAGTTGGGGTCCCTCTGGGATCATCTGTTACAGGTTGGAAACAATGTGCCAGACAGGGGAGGATCTGACACTGGGACAGTTCCAAGGTCCTTTGGATCTCTCCTACCCTTCATGGTCCAGAGAGTACAAAGCTGAACCCAAGGGGCATGGTTGCTTTAAATCAGACTGTATGTGCTTGCCCTTTCTCCTCATGTCAGGCTATTAACCTGGGCTGCAGGGAAAGCCTGAGGCATCTGCCTTTTAAGTGCAGTCCTTTCAGAGGACGTGAATTTCATTGCACTCACCAGGTCTGGGTTTTCATTGCTTGTCCCAGGCACCAGTGGAAGCTCTAGAGAGGGAGCAAGCCCCAGAGGAGGGCAGCCAGTGTGAGTGGACCCTACATATGTAGAGAGACTTGCACCTTAGAGCAGACCCTAACTGGCTGCTCTTCCCCTGGAGGCAGGCAGATGTGGAAGAGAGCCCATAATAGCTGCTGGGCAGCTGGCACTGGAGCCAGGGCTGGAGTTTGCATCACCCTAGGGTAACTGGTAAAATCCTGTCATTATAAAATTCGTAGCGCTGCAAAAGCAGACTAGAGGAAGGGCTCTAGATTGCAGTGGAGGAGGCAGAAAGAAGGGGCCCCAAATTAGCTTCTGGAGGAGGCATGGAAAGGTCTCTTGCAGGGTCCGGGTGTGGGAGTGACCTGCGGCTGACCTACTTCCTGTCAAGTGGTGAATCTCAGAGACCTTGGGCTTTGGGGAAGACCACATCCCCACCAAAGGACCAGAGGTAGGGATGGGGCAGCAAGATGCCTGGCTAGGCTTCAGTGCCCTGAGCCTCAGGCAGAGTCAACACTATACCTTTTCCTGTCTCCTTGAATTTCAGGCCCCTCATCCTGGACCCGGCAGATCCGACAGGGATTGTAGGGGAGGGTTGCCGTTGGGACCTAATTGCAGAGGAGGCCAAGTTCTGCTGTATCCAGCGCTGCTGCGTGGATACCTATGGAGTTCCTGTGCAGCCTTGGGATGTCTCGGTGAGGGAAGGATTAATCAAGAAACTAAAATGGGCCAAGCCATCTAGCTGGGAGGGTGCCACTGGGTTTGGGGTAAATTGTTCCTTCACTGAAGATGACACCAAAGTCATATCTGAGTCGGGGTCTCTGGGCCTGTAACGGGTCCCAACCCTTGTTACTGAGAATTGGGCTCGGCCGGAGAGCTAAGGGGCTGTAAGTCAGTACAGAGTGGTAGCTTACAGAGAGCTGGAGTTGTGAGCCTGCTTGTAGGGATACAGGCTGCAGAGAGGCAAATCTGCAGGTTGGATGATAGAAACCCCCTATGTCTAGTTCTGAGAAGCAGGGATGAGGTGAACAGAAAGGCTGGAGCCCAAGAGATTATGAGCTCTGCTCCCAAGACAGCGAGGTTACTCTGGCCCTGGGTGTTGAGGGGAGAAGAGCTCCCTGGTGAAGAGTTCAGCCAGTGGGGAAGCTCTAGAGATGGAGTGAACCCCAGAGAAGGGCAGCCAGTGTAAGTGGACCCTGCATGTATAGAGAAACTTGTCTGAGGCCAATTGGACAGACTATTACACCTTGCTCCAGGAACAGAAGCAAAAGATGAGGCCAGAACAAGGCAGCCCAGCAATGACCAGGGCAGAGCAAGGCACCTAATGCCAAGGTCTGTTTTTTTGAGGGTAGTTTCCCAACTATCTGTTGCATCAAGCTGCAGCAAGGCAATACTCTGACAAACCAGAGTGGGAGAATGGGCGTCATGTGGCTGTGAGGGGACGCCACAGTTGCGTTCAGAGGACAGTTCCATTACAGGGCCCCCTAGAAAGAGACAGCTGCTGAGACAAGCATTGGCCCTCCTCTCTACTCCTAGGGTCAGCAAATCTCCCCTCTTCCTTGCTTGTATAGCTATGTTCACATACTCTGGCATCTCCTACATCCCCAGAGACCTCTAATATTGCAGGGGAAGGGTGAGTTCTTAGGAACTGGGTACTGCCAAACTGCAGGCCCAGGACTGGGCACTGTAGGGTCTGGATTTATTTACCCCATGACAGTTTCATCAGGAGGTGGCAGATGCCTGGGATGGCAGTTTCCCTCCATGGTCAGGTATTCTCCGGTCTGGCTAGGGTCTATCTACCCTTCTGTATGCCTCCCAAAAATGTAGTCATTAATGCTGTACAGACTAAGAAATGACCTCGGTGCCTGAGTGCTACCTGCTCCTGCTGGTCCTTGAATCCCTGGGCAGAAGGGATGCATGGCTGACTCTTGACTTCTCTTCAGTGACTGTCTGTTCCTGTTGCAGCCTGAACAAACCCTCAAAGGGAGCAAGGGAGTCCGTGTTCGCTCTGTGGCTAAGCATGAAGCACGAAAACAGAAAGCTGCAGAACTTCAGCCTGTGCTGGTCTCTTCCTACAGCATCCCTGCCTTGGCCCCACAAGAGTTGGAAAAGCAACCCTCCTTTTGCAGCATACTCTGAGAGGACCCTTTCCTTACGAGTCTTTTGGCAATTAAGCCAACTGTCAGGACCAAGGGAATGTGGAAGGTAGGCTTTTGGGGGAGGTGGAATTCCTGGGGTGTCCAGTCCTATTATTCAAGCTACCCTAAGCTGGGTAAGTCTCCTCTCTGTAAGGATGTGAATAGGTGCTATAGCTCTCTTGCAAGAATAGGGCACAATCACTGCATCTCTGTCATAAGTGGATGGGACTCCCTGATAAACCTCAGTATCCCTATCATCCATAGAAAGCCATAGGACAATAATGCTGGAAGGACTTTAGGAGGTAATCTAGTCCAGGCCACTGCTCTGGGTAGAATCATCCTGTCAGAAGCATCTTTGTCTAGCATCTTTTTTAAAGAACCTATGCTGCAAGAGATTCCCAAACCTCTCCCTGCTTATGAGTGGAAAGGTCTTCCTAAGTAACTTTTAATTCCCTTAATGCAATTTAAGCCCACTATTTCTTGTTCTGTCCCCTGTAGAGACAGAACGATTGATACCCTACCCTCCACTTTCATCAGCATTTCTATCTGCTGCAAGGCACATATCTAATATACCTGCCTGTGCTGGGCTGGTGGGCTCCCATATCTCTTTATAATTTGCCTGAAGCAGGCCCATAGACTTATGTGAATCTTTGTCTGCTGAGCATACCTGCTGCTGCACCCTTCTCACTACAACAGAAGGGTTTGTCCTGTCCTAAAACTTAAGAATTCTATCACTTTGTGCCTCATCCTCAGGATGGCATTTGGAAATGGCCTGACAGAGCAAAGGGAATCCTAAGCATTTGATCTCAAACTCCCACCATTCCTTGCAATGCCAGGGGATATCCATCGACCAAAAATGTCCTTAAGGCAGGGCGCAGAAGGTTGGGAACACTGCAGTGTTCTGTGCTTTTGATGATGCAGTGTGGCTGTGTGGACACGGACATGAACATTCAGTAGTCTCAGTGGCATGCTAGTTACACTCTCGGCATGCAGAGCCTGGACTGGACTCCTACTTGGAGTCCATTCCTACGTGAAGTCTTCCTACTTGGAGGACTTCATTCTCTTTGCCCTGTGATCCACAGCACAGGGAGGGCCTGTTTGTGCGGTTTTGCTCAAGGTGGAGAGTCAAGGCCGGTCTGTGCTCGCTCAGTGCCATTTCCAGTTTGTATGCCAGCTGGCATGCCTTGTCCCTGAAGTGTAAGCCACTGTAATGAGATCTCTACAAAAGTACCTCCTTGAAATGTAGACCGTTATCTGCATCATCATCCTGGGCCCTGCCCCACATGGCTTAGAGTGCATCAACTAAAAGGGTTTACACATCAATGCCAGCTTGGTCAGTCAAGGTGTACAACTTCAGGGTTTTTTCCCAACTCCATTCTGCCCCCTGGGGGAAATTTGCCTGCAACTGAAGTGAATGACTGCCCCCCACTGCTCTTCAGGGCCCTGGCATGCCCATTCTTACCCTGGCTTATGAAGCCTTTCACTGGGCACATGCATGCCAGGAAGAAATTGCTCAACTACTGGCTTGATCATGGAAGGCACTTCAAACCACAGTGGAAAGCAGTGGAAGCACACCTGGATGCCAATGAGGGCTGTCTGCCCTGGGTAGTTGTATCATGCTGCATCCTGCACAATATTTCCAAAGTCAAGGGGGCAAACTCTCCGTAGTCCTAAGCAGAGGGAGTGTGGCTCCTTGGTGACTTTCCTTGGTGGGGTGGAGTGGAGTGGAGGGCTGGGAGGGCACAAGCAAATGAGGAGTGAAACAGAGAACACAACTACCAGGCCCAATGACTCAAAAAACCAAGAACATCCTAACCTGCTACAGGTAAAGCAGAGGGACAAAGGCAGTGCCAATAACCTGCTGCTGCAAGGACTGGAAGTAGTTTGTTCAAATACACTCCATATCTAAGGAATAGGACCATGCTCTCTGCTACAAAGGAAAAAACCCCACAGTCTATGCTGATCTGACTGCGGGATAACATTCCTTTTTGATTCCAGATGTAGCAGTTGGTCAGACGCTGAGTGAAGGAGCAAAACCTTCTAACCCCAGAACCTACAGGCTTTTTTTGTCCAAACAGGAGCACCAGTACACCCCAGTCAAAAATGCCGAAACAATTAGCAGCTCAGGAGCCCCTCATGTATGGATCACAGGGAGATCATGAGAAGATCTCTGGAGACCAGAGAAGGAGGAAAT